AGCTCTGGCTTTGGGATCTGCTGCCCACCTTCCCAAGGTTACTGCCCTGGGGCATCTCTCCCTGTGCCCCAGCCTCTGGCAGCAGCTGTGCCCACCAGGTTGGGGATGACAGGAGCCACCAGAAGCCCTATTTGTGCCAATCCTGTCCCTGCCAAGTCCCCAGCTGTCACTGAGCCTCCCCCTCCACCTGCAGCCCGGGCTCGCCACGCGCTGAGTGCCGACGGGTTCCTCATGTACCTGTGCTCCCCGGAGGGCTCCATCTTCAACCCCCATCACCAGGTCCTGTGGCAGGACATGAGCCAGCCACTCTGCCACTACTTCATCTCTTCCTCCCACAACACCTACCTGATAGAGGACCAGATCCGGGGCCAGAGTAGCATCGAGGGCTACATCAGGTAAAGGTGCTGCTCCCTCCTGGCTGCCCCCCCCAGTGCCCTCCTGACCCAGCTCCATGGGGCAAACCCAGAAGCTCCTTTGCCTCCTCCGTGATCCAGCACCCCTGTGGCCATGTGATGTGGTGTCCAGCAAGGAGGTCCATTTCGGGGACGTTGAACCCAGCTCTCCCTGCCCTGCACTCAGCAGCATCTCCACCCTTGGTGGTTGTCCCCTGGTCCCTGCAGGAGTGACACCCACAGGCAGAGGGGAGGGCAGGGGGCTGGTGCCCTGGCTGGGCGCAGGGTCCCAGGAGTGACAACCCACCCACAGGGCTCTGAAGCGGGGCTGCCGGTGCCTGGAGGTGGATTGCTGGGATGGGCCGAACGGGGAGCCCATGGTGTACCATGGCCACACCTTCACCTCCAAGATCCCTTTCCGGGAGGTGGTGAGCACCCTGGGGAAGTACGCCTTCAAGGTAGGGCACCCTTCCCCACACACTGGCTGTCATGGGTGGCCCTCAGCGGGCAGGGGGGGATGAGGCTGTGATTTGGGGCAATAACGGGTCTCTGGAGGGGGAGCAGTGCTGAGGCTCACACGCCTGGTACTGCAGTGAGTCTGACCCCACCATGGGTGAGGAGGGTGGCTGTGTCCCAGGGAACAGCACTGGGGGGGTCTGACACACAGCTCTGCACCGAGCCATGCCAGGGATGCAGTGTGAGATGGGGCCTGGGGGATGCAAGGGTCAGATGGGATATGGGGGATGCTGGGGGACTGGACGTGTATGAAGGTCTTGGGGGGGATACGAGGACACACAATGGGCTCCATCCTGGCACTGATCACACCTGGGCAAAGCCCTTGTGAGAGCTCCTTGACCCCACTGAGGCTGATCTCCAGCTGTGCATGTTGTTCCCCAGACGTCAGACTACCCAGTGATCCTGTCCCTGGAGAACCACTGCAGCATAGAGCAGCAGGAGGTCCTGGCCCAGCAGCTCAAGGACATCCTGGGGGAACAGCTCCTCACCACCACCACCGATGGGCGCGTCCCCACCCAGCTCCCATCCCCAGAGGTAGGGACAGAGCATGGCCACACTGGGCATCGCTGTCCTGCCTGGAAGTGGGGTGAAGAGGTGGCTCTGCTGTCCAGAGGAAAGGCCACCCCGTCCCAGCGTCGTCCTGCTCCACTGGAGCAGTTGAGGACCCTGCGGACACTGTGCCCTCCTGTTCACAGGGGTCTCAAAGCTGTCCTTAAGGTTGTCTCCCCATGCCCTGCAGAGCCAGGCAGCAGGGCAGACCCCTCCTACCCCATCGCCTCCTGGGTGCTGAAGGGAGCTGGTGGTTCTGGCCCCCAGCAGTGCAGGGTTCCGGGGGACAGGAAGTCCCATGGAGGAGAGGGGCACCCCAAGGTGCCTACCTCTGCATCCCCAACCCTGCAGGAGCTGAAGCACAAGATCCT